TTTTAATGTTGATCTAAAAATGAACCATCTCTGAATAAAGTGGCAAAAGGCGAGAGCTTAGTCTGTCCTAGGAGAACCTAAAAGAAACACTAGCACTATCTACTCTCTGCACTGCACTACTTCTGACCTTTCTGGGTTTTTAACTCAGGCAAGAAAATGATGGTGGTGGCAGTTGGGGGGGGGGGGGATCTTCCCCAAAGGAGCCACTGGAGCTTTCCCCTCTGCATGAAATGAACCTTAACATATCCACGGATGATATCAAAATCTATAATTTTGGCCCCCAAACATGTCTTTGACTTCTCTATCAGTTTGGCTTGCACGTAAGTATATATGGTAATTGCTACTCTTAGTTATGTTACACAACAATAACACTTTGCTTTTACTTGGCTGCTACATCATTGGCTCTTCCTGATATTTGTTTTTATAAAATTGCTCATTTTTATATCATTTTGTTCAGCTTCCTGGAACAAAGGTGGTACATTGTGTATACCTTTAAATTAATCGTCGTCTTCTCATTGACTGTTGTAACTCGCTGTTCCAGAACATTGTTTACTTAATGTAGGATGTACAGACAGGCTGGTATTATTAGCTTTTAAAAATATGGCATATCGGTAGACAGTCAAGTTTCCCCAGGTCAGTACTAGATGGCTTCTATTATGCTAGAATGGTAACTGGTAATTAAGTCTGATGGGGACAGCACAACTTACACCTTGTATTGCTCTCATATGTTCCACACCAGTTTGGATATCTTTGTTAACCAACTGCTGAATCCCTTCGAATTGTATTTTGCTTACTGGATGTTTACAACCAAGATCATGCTGTATTACTGAATTGTACAGAAGGAACTTTTTATGGGATGTTTGTCCATAATAGTGTAGGTATAACTCTGTTAAAGTTTCTGAAAAAGAACTTCTTATAAAGCATTTTTATACTAACTCAACTTTCTCCTTATCTGTTTTAGGACATTTTGGCACTGGAAGAAAGACTTTCTGTGTTGAGTTGCAGCAGTGTGTCTGTAGTAAATAATGCAACAAGGTTAGTCTGCATTATTGTATGTTGAGATTCTGCTCTCACTGTGTATGTTTGCTTCCAAAGAGGCAAGGTAAAGAGCCACTACCTCCAGAACCCTGTGCTGAGCATGCATGAATACCAAAAAGCAGAGTAAATAAGTAAGCATCCCTAGAATACTTTTTTAAAAACACACACACACACCTACACACACACAAAGGACTAGAGGTTTGGCCACCAAAATTGTAGGAAAAGATTTTTTTTTTATCTCTGAACATATTTTGGAAGAAGCTTTCAACTAATTTCCAGAAGATTTAAAAATGTTCTTGTTTACCTATGTAAAGGTTATCTGATCTGGTTGCTTTAATTCAGTTACATACTGCCAGTTTTGTATAAAAAGTTTACTGAAATATATTGAACTGTTCTTTTTGTATGTGTGGTGTAGGACTCTTTTCCTATTCTTTCCATGTTATTTCAGCCTCTGGTACTAACTGTTCTGTTAAAGGAGAAATACCAAGGAACGCATCAACTTCCTGTAGTAGTGTAGTGGATCCAGCAGTTACAAAGTCAAAGTCCCAGGAATTTTCGACTCTTTATGGCTGGAGAGACTGTCCATGCACATTGGATCTTTGGACCCAATGTTTTTCTGGAAAAGTATCCTCTTGGTTTAGGAAAGGGGTTTCAAGGGCTGACACTAAATTGTGCATTGAGGGCTTTACTCTAACCATGACCCCATTTCCAGACTTAAAAAAAAATCTTTGAAGGTTCTCTCCCAAAGGCAACTGATAAAGTAATTGGGAATGATTTGTGATGCCCAAATGACAACTTCCAACTGTTTAATATTTTCAATTATCATAAAGACAATATGTACTTGAAAAAGTATTTACAAAATAGAGATAAAGCAATGGGTCAGTGTCTCGAGTGAACTGAGCTTTATGTTTGATCTAGAAATTAGTTTGGAAATCAAAATGAGGAAAGTGTGCTCCATTTTTCTCATGTACAAAAAGTGCCCCAGTTTTTACAAAACAGACCACTTCTACAAATTGTCAGAAAAGGACACAATAAAAATTTATTTTAAATATATTATAAAAGAAACTCCATCCAGTTCTTAAAAACACTACACCTTACATATCCAACTGATTTCCAAGTCATCAATGATACTACATTAAAGTGCTAGACTTCTTTTACCTCCCCCATCACAACAGGACATTGTCCCAAGATGCACAAAATAAATACACCAGTTTATGCGGCAACGTCCAATTTCAAAGAAATTGTTAAGCATGCATTACAAGGTGTGAAACATAGACTCCCTAAGGACTGCCCCTTGAACTTCATAGATTTCCCCCCCCTTGCTCCTTAAAATATATTTGGCCACTTGATACTACTGTCAGAAAAGTTAACATTTAGCATAGTTACATTCAATGCAATGTCAAGGGCTGAATTCACATAATTTTGTTTTGTTTGGGTGGGTGGGATAAAAACAATTCCTATTTATTAGTGATAACTGAATGTATTTGCATGGATTTAGCTGTATTGAGTTAAAGTTCTCCTATCTATATCTGGCATCAGGAGAGTTTGGAGCAACATATAGTTTGAACAGCCAATAGTTAAGTGACATGAATTACATGTTTTAATCTGTTTCATATGTACATAATCTTTAAGATAAGTGGCAAGGAAATTGTTAGTCATGACTGCCATTTTTAAAATCTTGAACTAAGCTAGACATGACATAGGTAGATATTTTCACCAGACTACAATAAGGCAAGTGTGACCGTTTTAAGAGTAAAGGGGCACATGAAAGGCGACCAACCCTCACCTTATCTATAGCATACCTATAGTCTGGCTACTGATATCACATCTGTATCAACTGAATGTGAATCTGCCGGAAACATCTGGGAAGCACATGGCAGCAAATAGCAGGTGTTGGATACACACCCTTTTGGCTCTTAAAACACACTGCTCCTGCATGAGTCTTATATTTAATTTAGGCCTTGGTTGCCTACAAAGCAGCTGCAAAGTCAGAAAGTTTAAAGGACACATCTATGCAGGTGATATCAACTATTTTAAAAAGATTTGCTCACTGCAATACCTCTCCAAGCAAATGTTTTATATTTGATAGGATTTTAAGTAGCCATGTATTATTCTTCAGTGTTAGTCAGGATGCCTAATGCTGCAATTCTACACACACTATAGACTTAGCTTCATTGAAATTAGTGGGACTTGAGTAAGCAACCATGATGTACTATAAACCAATTTTTCACACAGCTAACATTAATTTTTTATTATTATTAAATTCTAGACTTCGTATTTTCTTAAATGGACAGTCCTTGAATCACCATCAGCATTCAATGAGTCTTAGAAATACTAAAGCTAACTTTGGTATGCCATTTGGTCTTTTCTCAGTTGTGCACATTCTTACAACATAGTTCCGTAAGAAAAAAATGATTTCAAAAGAAACTCATCAAATCAGTGAATTTGTAGCTATGATGGTAAAAAGATGCCCTTTTATTTGGCCTTGCAACAATAAACCCATGCCACTTCTAAAATCTAAAGGAGCAATATATTAATAGACCCCTCCTGATATTACTAGTAAGCAGCTGCTTCTTAACAGATCATGTGTCCTTTTGACTGCTATTTGGGTTTTAAGATCCCAGAGCCTCAAACTTTTTTCAATTGCATGAAACTAATATCACTGTGAAAAGTTACTGAAGCATATTTGAGGGTGAGAACACCTTTCATATTTCTTTCCTCTGATGTCTGACTACATAGAAGGAAATATGTTTAATGGCCCATATGCTTTATGGAAATTACCCTGTTAACTCTGCTGTGATATACCTACAAAGTTACATCAGTGTAGCACTTTGTGCCTCACACAAGCTGGCATCCTGCTGGATGAATCCCAAATAGAGTAAACCCACTGAATTAATAGCTGAACAGTGAATCATTATATTGGTAAATCTAGCTGATTCAGTTCTGCTCTAGTCAAAACCTGCAATAGGATTCAGGCCCCTTTAGTATATCTGCGTGCCAAACATTTGAGATCAGTAGTGACTCAGGAAGTTTTGACAGGATTAATCCTCACTGTGTGTATTTGGATGGTGGCCCACTTTGTTCTCCCACTATTTTTTTAATTAATTACATAAAAGATAGGAACTGCCAAATCTCTTTGTTTCATAAATCAAGACCAATCTATTTCCATCTTACAATGTAAACTTGAAATTGGATATTAAAACACAACACATTTCCCCTCCTAACATTAATTATTCACGACAATGACATCTTGTACATCCCACACCCTACTTCATTCTTGTCCAGCAAGGCACTAGGAATTTTTCAAGTTTAGGCATCTGCTGTACATTAGCATTTTAAAAAGGCACTTCCTTATTTTAATGATGCTGTGAACTTTGATACAATTGAAATTGAGTATTTTGCATTATACCACAGTGATGTGTGTTTGCATGCATGAGTTTTTGAAAACTGAAAGAGAAGTTTCCTGCAACTCAGGTATAGCTCCTTGGATAACTTCCAAGGATTCAGATTACAGAAAAAAAATCCAGTTCTGACATTTCAAACACACCTCCACAAACATCCAAAATGATCTGCTGAGATGAGATGTCATGACTGAACAGTTGTACTGGTGTAGGCAACCACTTCACATAAACCCTGTGCCTTAAGGAACTCTTTCCAAGCAGCAATCATTCTGAAGAACAGATGCATGAAATAATCCTGACTGAAACAATAAAAACTGACCCAAAATTAAGTACTGTACACACACCTAGCCTCCAAACATCCAACTTCAGCACAACAAAGCTGCCAAGTCAAACAGAATAAGATTTTTTTGTTATAAATCCTAAAAAAAAAGAAAAAAGTGGGGGGGGGGCAGAATGTTTATTTTCAGCTCAGTTAACGAATAGTCCTCTCAAGACAAAACATATCTTTTGTTTAGAGATGCAGATTTTGGCTGTTATGATGACAGATTAAATACACAGTCATATAGCCTTGGTAATAAAATTGATTTTTTTTTGCTTTTCAGCCAGCAGGTGGCCCACTCTAACAATGCACTGTTAATGCTGTGAGCTCAGGGAATGCCCTTCAGACTGCTTAGTAAGAAAGGTAATTGTTTTAAAATATATCGCTGCAGAGAGGAAATAGTTAAAGACCAGAATTTTACAATCCTTTTAATATTTGGCTTTTAACATTGTGTTTGGTTGCAGCTGATAGCAGAAAATAGCCTAGTTATGCAACCCCCAAGCTCTGCATTTTATCAGTGGGTTTTAACTTGTATTTTAACTGTGTATCTTGATGTATGTATTTTAATCGTGTTTTATCTCTTGTTTTAACAACGTTGTATCCTGCCCCGAGCTGCAGGAAGAGGTGGGGAATAATTAATCATTATTATATTATTAAATCTAGCTGTTAGTCCAACTCGCAGTGGTTCCCAACTTTTGGTCCTCCAGATGTTTTGGACTTCAGCTCCCACAGTTCCTAACAGCTTGTAAACTGAATTTTTCAGGCTGTATGACCATGTTCCAGAAGCATTCTCTCCTGGTAAGCTGGCTGGGATTTCTGGGAGTTGAAGTCCAAAAACCTGGAGGCCCAAAGGTTGGGAAGCACTGAAAAGTAAACCCATTTATTGGATTTAATATATACATCCCTTTACTTAAAAGTTTCCCATCACTTTAATGAGTCTACTCTTTTTGGGACTAACACATTTAAATCAAAACTTACATGTTGGACATAGCAGCTTTCTACAAGCCTCCTATACTAGTGATTTTTTAATGTATGTAATTCAGATTGGGTTGTTGTAGGTTTTTTCGGGCTATATGGCCATGTTCTAGAGGCATTCTCTCCTGATGTTTCGCCTGCATCTATGGCAAGCATCCTCAGAGGTAGTGAGGTCTACTGGAACTAGGAACTGTTGGAACTAATTCAGATTGCTTACTATATTGGTATGCAGTTTTCCCTTTATGTTGTTTGAGGTTGTGGAGGGATTGCAGACCATGTGATCAGATCTGGGACTATTCAGACTGAGACTCCATTTTAGAAGTCATTATTCAGTCAGTATTGTATAGTCAGTTGTGTTTAGGTTGCGTTCAGTTTGCATCAAAAGAGTGCATTAGACATAAGACAGAGAAGAGACTGCAACAAAATGCCTCAGAGAACTTACTGTTTAAACTTTCAACTGATTAGTAATGTACTTGTATGTTGAATACATTAAGTTTATAAGTAAACCAACTATGTTATTTTAAACGAAGACTACTTATTTTTGTCTCTTCAGAGCATGATTTAAAACCAAATATATTTATTGGAGAGTAGATGTTTCGGGCACCGAAATAACACTTCTGAGGATCTGCTGTATATTTGGTACATTGGCATAATTTTTGTTCCTAACATTTCAAAGAGATAACCAGATATATTAGTCTAATAATTAAGAAACCTAGTTTTCCTTGCATTAATACTAGTTGGATATTCCACTAAAGAGTGGATTCACTCAAAATACTTTTTAGCTCTTCTCAGGAAGATTATACTTTGCAAAAGGGTTGTTTTCATTCCAAATGGTGTGAATGCCAATTAATCTCCAAAAGGTTACGCTTCCAAAATGTTATGTGTCCAAAAGGCTATGGAGATTTTGCTTTTCCAAAACTGCAAGACTGCAGACGCTTTGCAGGAGCCAATATAATGAACTGGCTAATCAATCAATCTGAAAATCCCTACTTGGAATCTCAACTCCATCAGGAACAGGAAGTAAAAAGTGCTTTTTAGTCTTCAAAAAATTACTATCTTTCATCTCTGTCTCAACATAGCATTAATACTGACCTATTTTGCAAAAAAGTTATAAACATTAAAATGTATACCTTGAATGCATAATGCCCAGAGCATTATAGAAAATGTATTATTACTTAGCTTTGTCTTTAAACAATTCTTATTTCATCTTTTTAAAAAATCAAGAAAAATCAACCAATATACTTAGGAAAACAAATGCTGAAAACAAACATCAAGTGCTCAAAGAACTAGTAAAGGGCAGAGACCCTGGTCAGCAGTCTTAACATGTACAAATAAGCTTTCATATCTAAGTAGTTTAGTGAAAAATCCTGTATGAGCCTTTATTAAACAGAAAAAAGTAAACCTGAGCTTGAACGGAGTTTCTGAATGCACCAAGAAAAGTGATTAAATAACCACTGAAAGATTAGTGAGGTAGAACTGGAAGAAGCAAAAGAGCACCTGTTACAAGGAAGAGAAAATAATCCACTTAGTAGAAGATGTAGGAAACTGTCCATTACTAATTTAAAAACAAATCTCATTTTGAATTTTAAAAAGAGCAGGTTTAGTTATCAAGAAAACGTAACAATGCAGAAGTTTTACTGAAGCTATTAGGAAGGAAGGATGATCTCTTTTGTTGTAATCCCCTATACATCTACTCAAGACTAAATCTAGAGGGGCATCTTCCCAGTTAAAAGTAGATATAGTTTTCAGAGTTAAATATCCCACAAATAAGGAGTAGGAAGAACTACATTCTATTATAAAGAATAGTTTAAGTAGTGATCCCCCTAAGTAAATGCATATCAAACTCAGTTAGTTTCTGTAATTGATCTGTTAGTCCAGCTCACTAAATACAGCAAAATTACACAATCACTGGAACTGGACAAATCTTTTGAGAACCTAGAACCAGGGAGTTTATCTAAAAAGCTAAATGGAAAAAAGGATGCAAACTGCTTTAGCTATTTATTTATTTATTTATTTATAAATCAAATTCATTCTCTGAAATGGGAAAAATTCACGAAGGATTATACTGAGTCTGAAACATGTCGAATTATATTAATTCTTGAATATTTTTCATTAGATATTCAAAGCACAAAGTAGTTTGGCCTGTAGAATTCTGCAATGCTGCAGAAGTTGCCCAAAGTTTGAGTGAGTGTCATTACAAATTGGTTCTATGTGGAATGGAGTTACATTGATTCAGGAGAAGCAAAAAGAAGCTGTGCTTCACAGTCATAGTGTATAGTTAAACCATGAAATCTACTAGCACATGATGGTTGATGACACCAGCTTGTATGGCTTTAAAAGAGGATTAGACAAAATCACAGGGGATAAGCCTATCAATGGTCATTAGTCCTCCTGGCTATATATGACTTCTAGGGCCAGAAGCAGCATCTCTCTGAATACCTGTTGCCCGGAGACACAAGTGGAATAATACTGCTGCAATTATATCCTATAGGCTTCTCACAGGCAATTGAGTTGCTAGAACAATCTCAGGATATTTTTTTTAGTCTTAGTTCTATTATATATGAGATGCCAAAGACTTTGATGCCAGTGAACTAAACAGGTTATGTAGAGACAGCTGATTTGCTTAACTATTCTTAGTTAGAAAAAAATAAATTTAACAAATGATGTTTCAGGTGCAGTATATACCCGAATGCAATGGGACTATTTGCAGATAAAGGACATTTTAGCACTACACAGTTATAAGCGTCATGTCTTCAATTTACTTCAATGGTTGCATCCTATGGAATTCTGGGAATTAGTCTGGTGATCTCTGGCTCAGAATGATAATTGCTCCTCCTATGATTCCATAGAAAATATTGTCATGGCAATTAAATGGAATAATAGTGCTCTAACTGTGCAATGTGAAATTACAGGGAACTTCCTGCTGTTTACAATAGGAAAGCTTCATATGCCAATTTCCAACATCAAATGTCAAGATTTAACAGAAGAATAAATGTATTGTGAAACACCTTGGGATGTTATACTATAGAAAGCTCTGTACTGGTGTCTCTTGAAAGCTGTAGTTATTCTATCAGCAGGCTGTCTCAGGAGTATAAAATTCGCTTTTAGTTTCTTCCTGGTTGACAGCAGGATACATGAATCTGAAACTGCAGTCTTCAAAAACAGAAGGAAGTTATCAAGTTTGTCTTCCAATTATTCTGAATTATCTATTTTGAAAGAGACCTTAGTTGGGATTATTTGTGTACAAGATTTGTGTGTAAGACATAACAAACTCTAACTTTATGTTTCACTGAGTCCCCTTGAGGAGAGGGGGCGGAATATAAATTATTATTATTATTATTATTATTCAAACTGATGAACATATTCTTTTGAGACTGTTCTTTTAATCTGTCTTCTATTGTCTGGGTAGGTGCTGTTTGCTCTTGAAGCTTACCAGAATAATGAGGGTAGGAATCCAGAATAGGCATTTTCAAATCATATAAATGTGCATACACTTGAAATGTTAAATTATTTCCAGTTATATCTTTTGGTAGAATGCACATCACTAGCTGCACAGATTCTTCTCCCTTCTCTTTTCAGCCTGGTGCCACACCCCACACCCTGCAACATTTAGGACAAGGAAAGAATTCCTTCTTTGTACTAGATGTTCAATTTCATTTCCAAAGAAGCTGTTGGGCAACATTCTGGTTGTCAAAGGCAATATAGAACGGGACCAACATATTTTATTTTGAAAGTTCTTACTGCCAGTAGTTGATCCTCAGGAGGAACATTTCAACTTTTCAGAAAAGGAAAGGAGCCTATACAAGGACTGGGAAATCTCCAAATAACAGTGTAATGGGAATGGGGATGTGGCCATCTGGGGCTGCCAAGAGGGTTGGATGAGGGACCTAGAAGTATAGACCCAGCTGCTGGGATCCTCTGCTCCTGATACTGGATGGAGCCCTTCAAGTATATTCAGGTTGAAAAGAAAAGAATTTTAAAAGAATAATCAGAAATATTCAGGGACTCCTGGAAGTTAAAAAAACCCAAAGGTTAAAGGAGAAAAGTTGCCTACAAGGTGTTTTATGGAGATAGGATCCATATCTTGACCATCAATAATTACAGGTAGTAAATTCAAGGCTGCGTACCTACACATAGTTATTGTCTGTTTTGTGCCTCACAAAGGCAAAAGCAACAACTTAATATCACCAAAACAAGGGAGGAATAACAGTGTTGCCCTTAGCCATTTTTTGCATGATAGATCCCTACATCTGGATTAGATAAAATGTGTTGCAGAATTCAAAATGGTTGCACGTCCCTTCATGAAATAAAAGTGGAAGCTTGAAATGTGCTGTAATAGATAAGTAACTTAAAATTCTGAAAATATACTATCCTGCCTTAGAGAGTAAGGCTTCCAATTGATAGCATGATAATGGAATGCAAATTTCGAGATGAGATTTGTTTACTCAAAAGATAACAATGCAGCATCATCAAAGTAAAGACTGGCCTGATAGTCACACCCTCTCCTGAGATTCTCCCTTTTACCTTAATTTTTTTAAAAAATTACTCTTTTACAAAATTTGTCATCTCTTCTGTAAAAACTATAGTATATTATATATACACACGCGCACGCACACATACATACATACACACACACACACATATACATAGACAGTCTTTAAAGATCGAGGTTTTTGTTAAAGGTTTCCAAGACAGTTGAGTTTGTGTGTTCAAATATCCATTGCTGTGTAGGAGATGAGGGATTGCATGTGTTCATGAAGATTTTTCTGTCACTTTCAGTACAGTCCATGCAGCTGCCACTTATTGGATGGTAAAGAGTCTTGTCCTGAGAATGAAAGAATCAGTTTATTACATGGGAGAATGCACCTGGGTAATTGGAAAATGCCTTCATGGTAGAGGATATTTCATTACATAATAGCAGTTTTGAGAGCCAGCATGGTGTAGTGGATTGGGCAGTGGACTCTGGAGACCAGGGTTCAAATCCCCACTTAAGCCATGGAAACCCACTAGGTTGCCATGGGCAAGCCACACTCTTTCAGCCTCAGAAGAAGGCAATGGCAATCACCAGTACACATTAAAACCATCCATATATAAATTAAAAGTGTCAATATAAAATTCCTAGGTTAAAATTGACTGTATAGGCCTGCCAGAAGAGATAGGCCTTTAATGCTTTTCAAACTTCTGTTAGCATGCTTTGCTTCAAAGCTGTTCCGGCATGTTATTCCAGTGTATTGGGGCAGCTGATGAAAAGTCCTCTGGGTGACAGCTGTCAGTTGGGTACTGGCTAACTGTGGTAAGCGTCCCTCAGAGGACCTAAGTGTCCTGAGGGGATGATAATTATAAGGGGAGAGGGGGTTCTGCAGGCAACCTGGACCCAAACCATGTGGGGCTTTAAAGGTAATAGCAAGCACTTTGTAATTTGCTGGAAACTAATTGGCAACCAGTAGAGTGATTTTAATATTGGTGTGATGTGATCATTCTTGATCTGTAACCAATCTGGCTGCCATATTTTGAACTAACTGGCATTTCCAAACTTTGTAAACATCATCCCATACATCTGTGGTGAATGTACACATACAGGTGTGTGAAGATAAAAAGGATTCAACTCCAAAGAGTAAATAGACAATGTTTTCCTTGCAGAACAATTGTATAAGAAATAGTAGGATAGGTACAATTGTCTCCTGAGGAAAAGCTGAGAACAACTTCTCATGGAGCCCTTACAGGAAACAAATTACTATTGCTAGCTCTGCAAAAATGTGGTTGTGCTTTGTTTGTTTCATGTGTAAAACATACAATATCTGGCAAAAATATGCCTGTGCTTTGGTTATTCATGTGTAAAGCATACAACTTTAATGAACCATTATTCTTCTGTTGTATTCACATAACCGAAAATGGCAATAACCACCATTTTATTTCATAGATTACAGAATTGGACACACTCACCTTCCTGTATTTCCAGAGTTGATTTCCCTTCATTCCATGACAATCATAGAGGGTCACAGGACTATTGTGGGAAACGGCATCAAAACAGAATTTCTTTGTATGCTGAGGGTCACCTGGACGAATATCTTCTCGCCAGCTGAATGTGAATACCTGCCAGAACAAATAATAAATCCTCAAAACTATGGTGAGGATGAAAATCTTCTGTGTCTAATTTATGCAATTCAGAAACTTCCTCAGTGTGAAGAACCACTGTTTCCTTAATACAGACAAGAAATCAAGTCAGCATCCAAAAGTGCCACTAGCAATACAGAGATTATGGAAATAGGCTCATTGTGGGGGAGGGGGGTTTGCACTATTTTACACTCTGGTGAGATTTTGTGAATGGCCACCTGTACATTCTCATATGTGGGACCCATGCCTGCCATAAACTCCACTGGATTGAGAAAGCTTTTGAAGGATAACTACTAACTTCCCCCCACCCTGGAGATCAAAAACAGGCCAAGACCTGACAGGAAAAAGGGAGGATGGATTTAATTAACATACAGATGACTACAAAGAGCACAGATAAGCTATCTGCTCTTACATTTTGTATTGTCTGATTATCACACATATGGCCTGGCATTCTGTTAGGATCACATACAAGTTTTCTTTATGTATGCAATTGTCCTATTTCAAATGCTGCGCGCATTGATATTCCCTTCATCTGCATGCAACACTCAAAGCCCCTCCAACTTTCTGAACAACCCTTGATATCACCCTGCACAGCCATTTTATGCTTTGCAGCAACCGAATAAGCTGAGAGAAGCACCAGACCATATCCCTTTAGCCAGACACAACATAATAAAATATGTGATCCTGGGGTCTCAGTGGTGTTATGATAATTTCACATCTGGCTACAGCGCTGTAGTCAGATGCATCTTGAAGTCTGCCTGCCTGCTTGTTGTGAAGCACTGAATGACCTTTTGGGTGGCTTCAGGGGCTTTTCAGTGAGTCAAAGAGAGGGAATATGACTCAGTATAGTGTAGGTTCAAATGTGGACACAAATACTACAATGAGGAAATTTTGGATTGAGATAATGATTAGTAAATGCACTTGCTGAAGGCTGGGTTATGTGCATAGTTTGTAGAGGTGATCCAAAAGTAAAAGATTGTGACTAGAGATGGGAAGGCCTGGAAAAAAATAGAAAAAATGGGGGGGGGGACATGTTTTTTTCTGGTGTCCCCCCCATTTTTCCATTTATTTATGTTTCATCCCCAATTTTTCTGCTTTTTCCTTAGGCCTTCACATCTCTAGTTGTGCCCCTACAGGAATAAGACACACATTGGAAAGGTGATATGAGTGAATGAAACCATTGCCCTGGTTCCTCTGAACAATATCTGTCATCAAAAAAAAGGAGGAAATGTCGTAGCACATTCTTACTGTGGCAGCTACCACTGGACAGACAAATAAATCATATGGATGTCCTTCCAAGAACTCTTGTAATCAGCACAAAGGTTCTTGCTTTTGTAATATGAGGACATCTGATCTAAGAAGAAACTAATTTGACAGATTGAAGAAGCTGGGCATGTTCAGCACGATGAAGGGAAAACTGGGATGATGTGATGGCATTCTTTAAATACTCCAAAGATTGTCAGAAAGTGGTGGGGGCAAGGCTTTGCTGCCCTAGAGGGCAGAATTTGTTCTAGTGTTTCTTAATTTTTAAATTTTTTTGTTTTGTTAAAACTGTTTATTTTGATTATGGTACATAACAGAAAAGCAAACCATGGCAAATCAGATGTAATCAGGTACCAATATTTTTGACGTGTACACGCCTCTCTACCTTATTCAATCAATCAGTTAATTTTGACGTTAAGTACAAATTATTATCTTTTACATATCTTAATACACATAAACTTGCTATTTCTGGCTGTTTTCCACTGCTTTCAGTCAGAGCTTAGTATTAATTTTTTTCATAACATTCAGGAAATCAGCACATGGCATTTTACACACATACCCCAGACCTTACACTCAACCCAAAACCCCTATCCTGAACAAACTAAACCCTCATCCCCACACCCGTTCTAGTGTTTCGAAGCTACAGGAGAATAATTAGATTGAAGGAATTTTTTTGACAGTAAGAGTGGTACAGCAATGGAATCAAGTGGTTGGAGAGGAGATAGGATCTCCTTCTAGGGACATCTTCAAGAAGACGCTGGACAGCTATTTGTTGGGGATGCTTTTGCTGGTGATTCTGCACTGAGCAAGGGATCAGACTCAATGGCTCACAAGCCCCTTTCAGATCTAGAATTCGATGGCCTGCACAGTGAAAGGGCTACTGTTGGATCCTTGTAAATTAAATACATCATAGCCCTTCAACCTAGGCTCTGTATCATGTGTAGTGGAATTGCTAATGAGGGTATAAACATATTCCAAAAGCTCCCAGTTCTAGAATGGTCCAAAAAGGAGATTTTCACCAGCCATACTTGATGCGCAGAACCACAAAGATTAATATAAGAGTTATTTGTAAAATCCAACTTGATATTTTGTATGTAGCACCACAGAAAAACCACAGAGATCTCTGTACCCAACAGCATACCACCAGAAGCTATCTAATCCACATAGGGGTATAGCAAATCAATAGAACTCTTTCATGTGGAGTAATATCAGCAATGGATGACATGAATATGAGGAATACACACACACACACACACACAAGCGCAATCCTTTCATGGGGTGGAAGATTTAACACAGAGAGGAGAAAAACATAAGAAGTATGGCTACCGTTATTCAGGCAGAGGTGAATCAAACAATAAAGCAAGAGATTCAGAGCAATCAGGGCAATTGTATAATATGAGCTCTACATTCATGCATTCACTTGGAGGACAGAAAAGAGATCTATTCAATTAAACTATCACACTGGTTCACTAATGAGAAGATATAACGATCTGGGATGGTAAGGATAGAAGTAATTGCTACATGCTGCCAATATTAACACTAATAAAATGTAAGGGAAATTGGTATCTTTTTATACTATTTAGGCAAAAACTTATTTAAACATCTACCTTAACTAAAAAAACAACCCCTAATATGTTATAATTGCACAGACCTTTTGCCAGGGTGGGATGAAGGAACTGGGATTCAAAGAGCCTTGCCTCCATTTCCAGCATCCAGGCATGCAAAACAATATGCAGGTTTTTCAAAATCATTTTTCCCCAAACTAATAAAGAAAATTGTGTAGCACTTTCCAACAAACAGTATATTTACTTGGTCTTCTTTTCTGTGTTATACTAGAAGTAACACCTCCACTCAATGTGCTAAAACCAAACGGTCACTTTTGGAATCCCATGCATTAGGATAGAATTACTATCTGGTTAGTTCCTTCTCTTGCTGAGAACTATTGGACGAGTCAATGATGTGCCAGTCAATACAAATGGTTTCCAAATTGGATGGCAGATCCATTAATATTATCTTCTGTCACTTTTATCTGAAGATGCTTTGAAATAAATATTTTTTCATGTTGCAGTTGTGCTACTATTAGCTATGGAACTTGTATCTGTTTGTCCTCTATTTGCCTAAAATGTAATTCCAAAAAACATTTATTTACAAAAGAATATAAAGTATGTCTTCCTTACACTCACAGTTCCATTACTAAAGGTATCTATTGTTTCATATCTAAGAAAGTACACAAACTATATTCTAATCCCCTAACAAAAGTCTTTTTATTAGAATTGTCAATGAATCAACTGTAGCGTTTTGTATTTTCAAAACTGGTAAGACCATTTTTCCCCATAGCTACCCCTCAAAACTTTTAACAGAATTTTCCAAAAAATATACCTACTTGGACATTGTTCCATGCTGCTTCTCCTCTGCTCTTCACACAAGTTTCAACTTTTAGCGGTGAACCTAACGCTCCATGTTTGGTATCTGCACATAGGCCAGTTCCTACATTACGGATCTGCAATATCAAGATGCCAATTAGTTCTATAATCATGTTTTGCGCATGCCAGCAGCCAATAAAACAGGAGCAAAGTCATTAATAGAAACACAAAAGACAGGATGGATTTATTTAAAGGAAAAAAAATACTGAACTGAGATGTTAAGAAAAAGGTTCTAGAATAATCTACTCTTAGGGCCCTTCCACACAGCCGTATAACCTAGAAGATCAAGGCAGATAATCCACAATATCTGCTTTGAACTGGGTTATCTCAGTCCACACTGTCATATAATCCAGTTTTGTTATCTTGCTTCTATTATATTGGAGGTGCTGTGTCTCTTACAGATTCTGGGGTTGGGGTCAAAATTGATTCTCAGCAGGGATTATCTGTTGTTACCAGACCAGAATCTTTACCTTTCTGTGCAGCAAGAAGAGATAAAGTCATGCTAGCCACTGGTTAACTGCAGGAGGTAATCCCAGAAAGGGAAACATTAAAAAGATCAACCTCTTTGGGTCACCCCTTAGGTAAGACACCGGGCTGGAGGACCATCCATTTTTGGGATGGCGAGAGAGTACTACAAAATTGGAAAATGATATCTCTGATATGATTCAGCTGATCTTTTGCATTGACACTTTGATACTGTAGATGTGAATACAAGTGTGATATAGTGGTTTGAATGCTGGAGCACTACTCTGGAGACCAGGGTTTAAATCGTCCTTTGGCCATGGAAACCCAATGAATGACCATGGGCAAGTCAAACTCTTATCTCAGCCTCAGTGGGAGGAATAGGCAAGTCCCTTTTGGACAAAACTTGCCATCAAAACCCAAGATATGTTCGCTCTGGAGTCCCTATAACTTAGAAACAACTTGAAGACACACAACTTTAGCATTATCTGTACGTGTGCTTGCTTGTATACCAGGGAGGGAGAAGGAATGGGATACCTCTATTAGTGTACTGGCAGAGGGACCTCACACTTCTTCACAAATAATCAGTTTCTATAAGCTGTATAATAATTAAGACTATTAGTTCTTCTCCTGACCAAGCCAGAATTGCATATAGTCAGACAGAAAGTCTGCAGATGCACCATCTATTCCAGATCTTTAAGTAGCAAAAAAGTGAAAAAAATGCCAATGCAGTATTTCAATGTGATATCTCCTGCTATATGTACACAGATCAACTCAACTCTACTATGCAGTTATGAAAAATCCAACATAAATGAAATTTTATATATGACAATGCCTTACCTAAGCCTATATATCAATTGAAAATCACGTGGTTAGAGCTGCAATCTATATGCCATAGCATGGCTGAATACGATTTCCTGACATTATCTAATGTGCTTAATTTCTTTCATAAACCAACCTCTCCCCAAGCAGCTGCTGGAGGCTCTACTGGTGGGTAAAACTTTCTCAGGTCCCAGGCAACTTCATTCATAAACCACCTGAAGCTTTTGCAATTGAGATTACTGCGAAGTTCCTTCTGAGTAGCCACATCTCCTGCAGACAGATGCCGATATTCAGGTCTCCTCTGGTAAATATATTCTGCATATTCATCCATCCATACCTCAGCTACACGCTTCAAGTTCTACAGAAATGCCAATATTTTGGAGAAAAAACAAGTGAAAAACAACCATAATCATCAGCTGAAGAGTCTGCATTAAGTGTACAAGAAATCTCAGAATGGTTCTTATTCATGAATCTCATCTTTATTGTAACAAGGAAATTATTGTTATAATTATTGTTACTGTATTGTGATACATGAGAGAAGTATGATGTGGATAGAATAATAAAACTGTAAATTTGCATGGTCCATCAGGCCCAACCCATTGCTTAATGCAGGACCTCCAGCTTCCCCAGCAGGTAGCTGACTGGCTTTTTAATGAAAATATCTAGAAAAGGAGACACCACCACCTCTTGAGCCAATTGATTCCAATACTGAACCACTCTTTCTATCAATAAGTTCTTTCTAACATTCAACTGAAATCTATTCAAAGGTGTCATATGAATCTGATATTAGCTTTGAATTGGAACACATGCATTTAATATACTTAATCGTACTTCAAGTTAATCTGCTGAATGGTAAAGTTAACTATCACAATGCCTGCACTTTATTCTTTTGCCATTTTTTAAAAGAAAAATACATTTTGAAAAGTTACAATACAATTGCCTAAATAGATAACAGGAAATTGTCTACCCTAAACAGCATATGTAATACACAAATAAGAGAAGACTTTGAACTCTTATGAGTCAGCTAGTTAGTCATTTGTAAACATATCATAACATTCCTTGAGATCTAATGGAAGTTGGAACACAACTGCTAGTTTTCCCATATGGCAATAACTGGAAAAATGAAGGGTTTATTTATTCAAGGTAGACTTACAGTAACACTTTCAAACAAGATATAATACTCTGTCAATGTACTGAAAAACATCTTATTGTTGGACAGCTTTTATTCTAGTTATGCACTATTAAGAAGATTTAAATTTAAATAATCTACTTACTAGATTCCATTAGAAACTTAAGAGGCGACCATGCATTTAATATTAATAATTTGTCTATAAAACAAGAATACTAGCTGCTTTAGTTTGCATGACAGAATTCCTAAACTTAGATTTCAGATTACAGAACACATTATCAATATTATTCATACAGTCAGCGCTCTATATCCACAGATTCTGTATCCATGGTTTGAAAATATTCTCAGAGAAAAATTTCAGAAATCCCATCTTGATCTTGCCAGTTTAAATTAAGAGTAAGTAATAGGATTTGAGCATGCATGCATTTTAGTATCCACAGGGTGGTGGTGGTCCTGGAACCAAACCCCAGTGGACGCTAATTCTGGAAGGTCTCCAAAATTTTAATGAATTCAATGAAATGCATGGTCAAAAAGTATTCTTTTTTCCACAGGCTACATTTTCTGTGCGCAATGCCTGCTATATCTGAAATGCCACCTCCCTCTAGCTGACAAATGGATAAGCAATGTTTAGTCAAACATCTTCAAAAATGTTTAGAGCGCTGCACAAAACAACCTCTGCTGTTTCACAAGTCATTTTTCTCCTTTTACTAAGGGTGCTTCCATACAGCCGACATCACGATTGTGGAAAAGAAAAAAGTTTGGATTATTGATGTCGCCATGTCAGGTGACAGCCGCATTGAGGAACAACAGGAAAAACTCAGCCGTTATCAAGACCTCAAAATCAAACTGCAAAGGCTCTGGCATAAACCAGTACAGGTGGTCCAATGGTAATCAGAAAACACTGGGTGCCGTGCCAAAAGATCTCAGCCAGCATTTGGAAACAATAACCATTGACAAAATCACGATCTGTCAACTGCAAAAGGCCACCTTACTTGGATCTGCGTGCATCATTCAAAAATACATCACACAGTCCTAGACGCTTGGGAAGTGTTCGACTTGTGATTTTGTGATACGAAATCCAGCATATAGATCTTGTTTGTTGTGACATACTGTGTTTTTGTGTCAATAATAATAATAATAATAATAATAATAATTATTATTATTATACTACATTTATACCCCGCTCTTCTCACTCCAATGGGGGACTCACGGTGGCTTACAGTCCATGGCATATAATGCCGCATTACACATATAATAAGAAACATGACATATGGCCAACCTATAGAGATATATTAATTAAGAATTCAAATATTATAAAATCCCATGAAGATTTAAAAAAGACATTTCCCAACATTACATAGTTGCATTACTTACAGATTAAAAATTATTATAACCAAGATAAAAAGCTAGGATTTAATTGGGAAGAATCAAGATGGGAGAAGATATTAAAGTTGGAGAAGAAAGTAGTATCAAATATTTATAATATATTACTCACATGGCTAATTGAAAAAGAACAGATTAAATCCTGCATGATCAAATGGGCACAAAATTTAAGAAGACCAATTCAAATGAGAGTGGGAACAGATGAGGAACAAAAAACTAAAATATACATATGCTATGGATTTAAAAGAGAACTGGTTAAAAATGTTCCACAGATGGTATACCACACCTATACAATTGGCAAAAATGTATAAAACTATGTCGGATAAGTGTTGGAAATGTCATGATCAGCCTGGGTCCTTTTATCATATATGGTGGACTTGTAGAGTAGCAGTTAAGTTTTGGACAAAATTCATGAAGAGATGCAAAAAAATTTAAAAAGGAGTTTTATAAAAAAAAACGGAATACTATCTAGGGTTTTCTGATTTAGACTTACAGTTAAATGAGGATGAAGATAAACTGTTTATGTTCATTACGACAGCCACCAGGATTGTTTTCGTGAGGGAATGGAAGCAAGAGTAAAATCCACCCACAGAATTGTGGTTAGAGAAAATGAGGGAGATAAAGGACATGGACGAATTGACATTTTTGTTAAAGAAGAATATGGGAAATATTTTAAAAAGGACTAATTGGGATCTTTTTCACAGCTATCTGGAGAAGTTGAAGAATTAGAAAGCAAAATAGACATGTTTTTTATTATTTCTTAAAGGACTTAAGTGAAAGAAAGTTACTAATTAAGAAGATGGACCGGAAGTCAATTTTTATTTTTATATATTTTTTTCTTGATTGTTTTTGTACTTTTTCCTCTTCTTTATTGTCTCTTTTCTTTCTCTCTCCTTTTCTATATTGATATTGTTCTCACTCTTTCGCTATTTTTTTTTGGTAGTTTTAGAAAACTTTAATTTTTTTTAAAAAAGAAACATGACATATCAATTTAAACAATTAACATATGATCTGAGTCATAGTTTCCAGGACAGCAGAAAATAAGCCTGATCCGTCCTCCTTATGGCATCCTTTCACACATGTATACATGGCTATCATGTCTCCTCCCAACTTTCTCTTCTGCAGGCTAAACATGCCCAGTTCTTTAAGACGCTCCTTACAGGGCATGGTCTCCAGATCTTTGATCATTTTAGTTGCCCTCCCCTGGACACCTGCCAGCTTGTCAGTATCTCCTTTGAATTGTGATGCCCAGAATTGAATACAGTATTGCAGGTGAGGTCTAACCAAAGCAGAATAGAAAGGCACCATGACTTCCCTGGACCTAGACACTATAAATCCCATTGGATTTTTAGCTGTTGCATCACATTGTTGCCTCATGTTCAATTTGTTGTCCATGAAGACTCCAAGATCTTTTTCACAAGTACTGCTGTCATGTACTTTCTATCCTTTCCCACAAAAAAGCACAATTAAATTCCATCCAGGAAGTTTAAATCAGTCATGAAAACAACATTCTACTTTAATTCCTGGGTTAACAAATTTTACATGTTGAAAACACACATCCTTGCAAGTTCATGTTTGACAAATGAAATAGCAAAGTAGGCTGACCATTCCTTCTTCATATATTAGCTCATATTCACTATCTATATTTGGCATCTATACTGTCAAGGACTCATAGTTGGTGCATTCAAGAGACCAAAACCTTTTTCCCAGTTACTGTATTTTTCCAGCAGAGGGAGCAGTTATCCATGTTTAAGATACAGTATGTACCTTTGGACACCCAATAAAAGCACATCAGTCTTAACATAAACATTACTATTATGGGCGAAATATATAAATTAATGCATAGTTATAACTAAAGAAGACGAACCTTCAGTTATCCTGTAAACTGGCAGTTTCTCCCCTCTAGCTGTGCAAAGGAAGATTAACTATCAATGCCATGAGTTATGCATATGTTGGTTGGGATTTTCAGGCTTTCTTGATTAACTAACAAGGGTCAATTTGATTTCAAAAGCTTTGGCAATCAAAGGAAGATTCCTCCACTTCATTAACTTATCCATGCTGTGGGGATGAAAATAAACAGCATTGGGATAGGCCTGCCATGCAAACAGGTAATTGCTTTTAGCAAAATACAAGCTAAGGATGGATTTTTAGTTGCACTCTTTGCACTCAGTGAACAAATAATAAGAAGTATGGCTCTTACCCTTGCCAAGCTGACTCCTGTTGGAACTTTATATGGGACATATTTTCTGTAGATATGGCCTACACGGGAACAAGGGATGTCTTCCATGCGACCCCCACACATCCATACCTATGGGGTGGCAAACAACAGAAAGATAAATAAGAATTTTCTTAAATCCTATGGAAATTAAACTTATCAAGTAAGAAGGCAGCAACAGTTCATATCCTGGTGATTGCGACACTGAATACTAAGAAAAAAGCAAGGAGTTTGGAGCACGAGATTAAAAAGCAATGAAAAGTTTAGTTCTAGATGGTATCCTGAATTTACTAGAAAATGCATTTTCTGTGTAGATTCACATAGTGTTATCAACTCCCAGGAGTATCTGAAAAACAGACACTTTGGAATGCATGTCCTTCCTAGGAACTGTGACTTTCCAGTACAGAGTGTGCATAAATATATACTCTGGTGCTCTAGATTTGCTATTAGCAACAGACCATAAGAGATTAAAATATTTATTCTGTATTAAAATGAGCATTTGTTAACAGAAAGCTATTTCCAGAATTATGATCAAGTCAACATCCAAGTGAGGCCCAAAAATGTATTTGCCCTACAAGAGACATTGACTCTGTGCCAACATTCTATAAGAGCCTCCTTTCATACCTAGATTAAATATGGATATAGGTTTTGCCAGTCTAAGTCGATGAAGGAAAAAGCTACTGTTGAATACATGCATTCCAGTAGGCTTAAAAATGAATTTAAGCACTTTGGTCACTAATAATGTACTTGATTTGTTCTAAAGCAGCATGCTCATTTGTAAACAGACTACTTTCAAAATTTCTTTAAAAAACTATCTGGATATTTTTTCTTAAGACTAACATTTTAGTGACCCAACAAAGGCTTCATTAAGACTACTTGATGAAGCCCTACTAGAACTCCAAATAATCTCCTCCCCCCTCCCAAATTTTTATTCAGTTAAAGTCGGTATCGAGTTGCACCTGACTTCCATCCCAGAAGAAAATTAAATATTGCTATTATTGATGAGAGCTCTAAAAATTAACTGCTATGTAATGGCTATGACAGGTGAGAGCACTTTTTTCCACTTTTTAATCAGTTGCTCAATGCAAACTAGGCAGTTTCAGTGAGTTTGTTTTTAATTAAGATTTATATTTTGGTAACAATGTTTGGCAAACTTGCAAAATCTTATTTAATAATGTTTATGGATGATGCAAATACATTAACCATGCTCTTTCTGAAATCTGCAGCAAACTAAGTTGTCCAATACCAATGACAAACATGCTCATAATTGCACAGATGCTGAAAGTATGTTTATAATGCATTGTCGAAGGCTTTCATGGCCGGAATCACTGGGTTGTTGTAGGTTTTTTCGGGATGTATGGCCATGGTCTAGAGGCATTCTCTCCTGACGTTTCGCCTGCACTTTGGCAAGCATCCTCAGAGGTAGTGAGGTCTGTTGGGACTAGGCAAAAGGATTTATATATCACCCTGTTTTTTTTTTTTTTGGTCGTGTCAGGAGCATCCTGTTGTGAGAGAATTGGCCGTCTGCAAGGACGTTGCCCAGGGGACGCGGGATGATTTTTGATGTTTTATCATCCTTGTGGGAGGCTTCTCTCATGTCCCCGCATGAGGAGCTGGAGCTGATAGAGGGAGCTCATCCGCCTCTCCCCGCATTCGAACCTGCGACCTGTCGGTTTTCAGTCCTGCCAGCACAGGGCTTTAACCCATTGCGCCACCGGGGGCTCCATGCCACAGATATATAAATCCTTTTGCCTAGTCCCAACAGACCTCACTACCTCTGAGGATGCTTGCCAAAGTGCAGGCGAAACGTCAGGAGAGAATGCCTCTAGACCATGGCCATATATCCCGAAAAAACCTACAACAACCCTATGTTTATAATGTATTTTATGTAATCCAGCTGTAGTATCATCCTACCTTGTATACTATGATACAGATTTTCTAGTAAGTGTTAATAAGTATTAAAAGCAAACCATTCCATTTCCACTGTGCAAAAGATTTAATGAATAGGGAGTGCTGAAAAAAGTGAGACTAGTTGAGAAAGGCAGCACGTTTTACGTCAAAAGAGGGGGAAGGACAGGAATTCTCAGAGGTGGTCATTTCAGCTATTGTACAGAAAGCAGCATACCAGCTTCATTGTGTCATAATACTATCAAACACCTACGACTTCAAGCTTTTACATATCTATATAAATAAAAATGTAATGTTCGTTTGTGGGATTAACAGAACTCAAAAACCACTGGACAAATTGACACCAAATTTGGCAGCAAAACACATTTTGATCTGATCTATGCCTTTCAAACAAAAAAAAAAAACAACTTAAAACTCCCCAAAAAGAAAAATGCCTTACAGAGCATGTGCAAAAGCCCCTCTCCCCATTGCGCGAGAAGAATGAAGCACCAACCGTTCTGAGGGAAGAGAAGCATCACCATGGAGTCCCTTTCCATGCAGGAAGGCAGAGTTCTTTTTCTTTTGGGGAGGGGAGGGATTGACGAAAGGAAAGGGGGAAGGAAGGAGAAGGCCTGGCCCAACGGAGGGATGGGGGCTTGGCGAGGCAAGCCCTGGCAGCAGCTGGAGCCACCACAGCGGCTCCATGAGGCCCACGTGGCTACCAGGCAACACTTCCCCAAAGACCGGAGGACTGCAAGGCAAGCCTGACTGCAGGAGCAGCTGCACACCGCCGCCACCCCCCCCCACCCCGGTTGGGTGAAGGGAGGATGTGAACCATGAGAAGGCCAGCAACTCTCCCAATTGGGTTCCGCATCCCCTCTTTCACCCCCCCCCCAAACCCTTAAAAGCCCTTACAAACTGTCCTGGAGGAAGGAGGGGAAAGAAAGGGAAAGGAGAGAAGAAAGGAAGAAAAGGATTGGTGAAGAGAAGAGAAGATTATGAATGGAAGGAAAGGTAGAAGGAAAGAAAGAGGAAGGAAGGGAAAGGAGGCAGGGATGGGAGAGGAAAGGAAGGGAAGAGGCAGGGAAGGAACAAAGAAAGGAAGGGGGAAACTGGTGAAGGGAAGAGAAGAATATAGAATCAGAGTCCTAGAGTTGGGAGACACCTGGTGGGCCATCCAGGCCAACCCCATTCTGTGAAGCAGCAGGAAAATAACATTCAAAGCACCCCCAACAGATGGCCACCCAGCCTTTGTTTCAAAGAGGTTTTTTTGAGTGTTTTGGCCAGCATAAATATAACCGAAAAGTCTTGCAGCTTCAATTGCTGCTTCTCATTATTTTATTTTCCATACCACCTTGCACCTTAACAGCCTGGCTTCTACTAGCCAGCAGGAAACCTTTGGTGGGAGGAGTTCCCTAGCCCAGATTGCTTCATGTCTGCAAATCCTCTGTTTTCTGAGGGCTAAAGTAACGCGTGGCCGGGTACAGCTATATCTATATCTATATTACCTCGTTTTAAGAAGCTAGACAGCTATGTACAGCATCTTTACAAAGACAACATAAAATAACCAGGTTACTGGAATGGTGGTACTTAAACTGCTGATTTAGATCAACTGCGAATCCAAAAGCAAAAAGGTTAAGGAACAATGCAATAAGTTCCCATTAGAAAAATAGGACACAAAACATGGATGTGCATTAATCATACATGTGTAAGAAGAGGGACGGAGGGATTCTGATGAACCTGCAGTTTTGTGGGAACTTTTAGATGTTTCTAACTTCCAAGAAATGGCTTTGAGGAAAGGGATTTATATTTATACATGCAAACTGTCTGTCCCTGACAACAGAAGGAAATGTGCATGTTGAACAATGGCACGTGGGCTTCTATATTAGTTGAAAACACAGCCAGATGACATGATTAAATTCAGGGACAGAAATGCTGAGGCAATACCTAACTTCCATCAAATACCTTGGGGGTATATTATAGTTGATCCTCCTTTTATCTAAAATAATTACTGTGGAGAGGATTTTTTTCATGAATGTTATAGAATGGGCAGGTTTTTCCTATTTGCCTCACAGCGACAGGAGAACTTCCTTGCAAAGACGGCAAGGCTCATTTTTAATATACAGCCTTCCCAACTATCAAGGAAGATGGAACCTGATCATAGATTCACTCATTCCATTAACATACAATATAAAAACTTTTGTCCAGAGTTGCCTGCCAAACAGTCGATCAAGATACTAAGTAACATGTGCTATAAATATTCTTTCCTCACACCTAACTAGTACTTAAAATCCCTCCTCAATATTTTCAACTGATGATGTGTCACTTGAATATAAATCTAATTTCAAAGGCAGGCTTCCTATTCATTTCCACTGCTGCTTTGATTCATTTTATTAGCAATCCCTTTGTGTGATGACAGAATTCATTACAACCTGCATAAAGAAAATTATCAGTTTTCATCTCTAAAGAGATCAGTGGAAATGGAGCATCCTTTGCATTGGAAAGATAAAGCAGAAATTAAAAAGCTAGTACAGTCCTGAAGGGAAGAAAAAAAAAGCAAATGTCTGTCAAACTGTATCTCCTTGAGATAACAGCAGCCAGATAGGGAAGAACGTCCACAGCTCTGTAAAACAGCAAAACTCTACTTGGATTTCTGCATGCAGGGATATCTGCATGACTTTGCAGTTTATTTCTCCCCACTGCCCTGCTGAGAGGCTTTTTTGTAATGAGAAATGAACACACTGACTGGCTTTGCCAAGACCATCCATGGTTTCTAAGGTTAAATATATACTGGAAGCTCTCTGGTTTTGATGCGCTGTGAATTGTATGTCTTACAATATTGGGTTATTTTTTAAACTATCATTTGAAATCTGAAGGTCAGTGAATAAATATTATTTTTGGATGTCGCAATTCCCATGAAAGCTTAAAAATGGATGAAGTTATAATTTTACTTAGGAGAAATGAGGGTTCCCATCCCTAAGAGATTCAGATAGGGCTGCAAACACTATATTATTTCTATAACAGTCCAATCGCATGTGTGTGTGCATGCACCATCAACTTGATGGCAATTATCCATGGACTGCCCTTGAAAAGTGATTTGACGCTATGGCTCATACAAAATGTAGCACTCAGTTCATTTATCTGCTCTGTGCTTAGATGTACCATCTATTCTCTGTCCCAAATCAATTGCATTGGCTTCCAGTTTATTTCCAAACATGCTAGTTTTTAACTGTGTGAGTGTGTGTCTTCATGTTGCCTGTAAACCTATGGGGATCCCATGAATTTTATAGGATTTTCTCAGACAAGGAATAACTTAGGTCCCATCTACAATGCCATATAATCATGTATGTGCTTTAAACTGGATTATATGTTCAGTGTAGATGGTGCCTCAGGTATGGTTTTGCCAGGCCTTCCTTTCAAATAGACCCTATAGCACTTGGTATTTGTTGGCAGTATCCCATCAAAATACTAACTTGCTTTGCTTTTACAATCATATGAGATCTGATGCCTTTTGAATTAAACCCCTAAATGGCTTGAGTACAGGACTTTGGGAAGATTGCTGCCTCATGTATGGACCAGCCTAGATTTTAAGATCTTCAGCATAGACCCTATTGCAGACTGCAATAGCTAGGTTAATGAGTAGATAAAACAGGGATTTCCTTAGCAGCACTTTAATCAACAAGTTCAGGCTTGTTGCTTTTTTGAGGGGAGGGGTGGGGTTTTGATATAGATCCCACCATTGTACTTTGCAGACATATTATACCATCCCTAACTTTTAAAAGCCAGGTCAGGCAAGGATCAAGCCCACATGTGGTAAGTAATGGGGTAATGAATGCCACTCATTTCAGCACTCTTTTTGTTCTTTTCTAGAACTGCACCAATCTGCTGCTACTGCTCCCAAACCAATTCTCAGCAGTAATGTTATCTGGGACAAATTAACAATGAAGAAAAGCTGGTTGAAAGGGGGTTGCAAATCTGGTGTGTGAAATTTGGAGAGCATTTATTTCGAATATGCCCTGGGTCAATTCTTTGTGCTCACTTAGAGACAAGATTCTCAGCATCTTTTACATTATTAGATGGAGCTTTAACACTGCTTGAAGTTTCATGGCGTCAAGCATTCTGGTGAAGAAATCTTTCATTCTTATTAATTTCAACAGAATAATTAAATCCATGAATGCATCTATTTATAACGACCTCTGAAAATACACTCTTTTGGTTAAATGTCATTTTCTGTCACACAATACAAGGGAAAAAGAACTTCTGGTGGAATTTATTGGACCCAATTTAACCCACCATAAATCATCATATCTGCCCTGAAATAAAACTCTGAAACACAGCGTGTAAATAGACAAATGAATGAAGTAGTCTTGTTTCTTGTAGATCAAGCATTTCAAAGACAAAGAGCTTGTAGAGACACTCATCACTCTTGGAGACTACCGTTTTAGAAAAAGGTCCAAGCTGGAGAAGATGAATACAGTTACTACTCTCTCCTGCAGAGAATTATATTATTATGCTCTTTCTTTGCACACAATAGTTAAAAGGATAAATGGAACCAACTGTAATCTCAAAGGGGAAACAAGAAACCTCCAATAAGTCTTTATTACCAATTTTGTAGAATAAACAATGGGAAGAAAGTGTCATTTGCAGCATGTTAATTGCCAAATGAATATAGTTTGATAGGTCTTTACAACATCATTTAGTAGCTCAGATTTGGAAAGCTAATGGGAAAAACTGAAAACAAGGAATGTTTTTTTCATATCATGAGAGAGGTCTGTTGGCAATTTTTGTTGCTTTCTGTTGGATTTCTGCCGAATCAGGGTGGTTTATTTTTGGTGGACACTGGACTATGAGAGTAGGCAAATTTAAAGGAAGCACAACGCACTACAAAAAGAGGAGAGTCCTTTTTTAAATGAAGGCAAGCATAGTTGTTTATTAATATAATCTTAGCCTTTGGATTCAGAGTACTTTCATTATATGTCCAACTACTGTCTCACTGTAACTGATCCAAGATATTTTACTGTCTGAGACAAAGAACAAAACATCAAAGTTCTCCCACACTTTTCAACTATAGCAGTCAACCAGGTTCATAGATGAATCTTCACTGGTCAGCTTCCACTTTCTATCTAGGAAGACAACTTATGTGGGGGAAAGAGGCAAGCTAGTTGCATGCAACGTACAGTTCTGTCCTTCAACAAAAAGGGGTAACCAAAGAGCTTTTCTCCCAATCTCCTGCATGTCTTGTATTATTTTCATTTCAGGAGTAACTCTGACCTCTGTGTCTCAACACAGTTCCCGGAATATGAGAATATATCATTTTCTCTAGAAACTACATTCTCCCAAAAAGTTGAATATTTTACTCAAAGATGCAAGCAGAAATTTCAGCAGTTTGTAGAAAGACTTAAGTATTCAATACTGATGTAGTACTCAAAACTCTACTCCTGTCTACAAACCCGAAGCCAGAACTCAGCAAGTATTTCAGGTCACATTTAGTTTGCAATTGCTATTTGAAAATGTGTACACATATTTTAAAATCAAATGTGCATTCTTTACATAGAGAACTAACCACTCTTATTTCTAATATAGTGATATTAACCTGTAAATTCCTTATGCAACCAGTTTGGGGGTATCTTACACTTGGTTATTTAGGCAGATGAAGATCATCCATTTCTGTTTCTTTCTCTAAAAACAATATTTATCTTTTAATTATTTACAAATTTGATAGACAGCATTCAACCACAACTAGTGGTAACCATGTAACTTGAAAGAATTCTGGATTCCTAACTAGATTCCTGATTCATTACAGCAACATATCCATTTGATTCTATAAATGTATACACAAGACAAACCAAGAAACTGGAAATTGTTGCTTCAGCTCTAAATACTAATTTTTCAGTATGTTTTTCAGATTAAAGATTTCAGACAAACATAGCTCACCTTAAATGATATTTCATACTGTTCTCCTCCCCATATCTCCAGGCCTGCATCATATCCTCCTAGCTCCCAGAACCACTTTCTATCAACTGCAAACAGTCCTCCAGCCATTACAGGAGACCTTGGGGTAAAATCAGACTCTATGTTACACACATGTGGATACACTACTCCAACTGTTAGGTCTACAGACATAGACTAACATTATATTTCAATTTTAATGCCCCCCCCCCCCCCGGCCCATCATTTCATGTTAGTGCTGCTGGCAATTTCTTCAGCGTGGTAATATAAACCATTTTCTTTATGCTATGGAAACCAGGAGAACTTGGCAGAGCTCCCAATTTAAATTATTCAACTCCATTGTGCATCATGAATCAACAAGGAAGAACAACAAAATCAATACAGAAATCTCTAAAAATCTATGCTAAATACGCGCTCCCTGGCTGGTCTATTTGGCAAGGCATCCTGAATACAACATTTCTATGACTTTTAATGGCTGAATCTTCAGTTTTATGATGCAGCATTTTGAGCCACATATGATCCCAGAACTTGTTGCACATCTGAGAAGTATTTGTGCTCTTAACTATTACAACAAAAATGATTTACAACAGCTTGACTAATATCATACAAACTGTTCAATTATGAGCGGGTTATCCATCTATCTGAGTTTTCTTCCTATACTTAAGATGTTTCAAAGTTCAATAGATTATTTCACTGATATACTTGTGTGAGAATGCGCTGACTCAGTGATGTTTTTTGTGAAATTAATCTGGACTTTTTCTGCTTTCACAGTCCTTTGATGAGATAGGAAGAAGAGACATCAAACTTTCTGTATGAAAAGGATGCAGTGACACTTTTTTCAGGTGGAGTCCTGATTTCCCCCAAAAAGGTTGATATGCCAGAAGATCCAACTCAATGTAAATTTTGTTCATGTTGCACACATTTCATCTGCACATATTGTTAAGTGCTCTTAATTTTTTATCATTTGGAAATCATTCAGTTAAATTTTAAAGTCCCTTAGTACATTGGTTTCCTGAGTTTTTTTTGTTCTTGAAATGCTATTACAATACTTCTGTTCTATAAACAAACATCCCTCCTGAAATGAATTCTGAGCTAAATTGTTCCAAAATGGTTTCTATCTGCTTGCAAGTACCCATGCCAAGAGCCTACCACTATCTCAGTAACAGCCCAGCTTGTTAAACACCTATTCACGCTTTGTTTCACGAACTTACTCAAAAGGGTCACTGGGATCCGGTTTCTGTAATTCAGGAGGAATTGGGATTCGCTTGTAATACATCTCCCAATCAAACGCTCCTCGCATTGCATCTCCAGCTTGTGTTTCATAGCCAAAGTGGTCATGGTCGATTACATCAATCATTGGGCAAACAATAGTCTTGCGATTTCGAGCAATGCGGTCTGATGAGTAAAGAGAAATGTGTTAAGTTTGTACTTGCTGTTTCTTTCATCTGTAACAAAAGGACACATCTACAATGGAAACAAAGCACCACAGAGCATGATGCCAAGCTCAAGATACAATACGACTCTAAACTCAGGATTCAGTATAGTACACTATAGCACTGAGGTGCTTTGTTTTTGTTTATTTCTCTCTCACAGAAAACACACAATTTCAGGTTCCCATCAAGTGTCCATTATATTAATGAAAAAAATGTTCTGTTACTTTGTTTTTGACAACAGATGTATGTAAGAGCTCCATCACTATCCTTGCAATTCCTCATAATTATATAAAAAACCATTCTGTGAAAATGACAACTTGTTTGGGTAGATAAATCTTTCCTTTGAGTTGAATTTATTTACAACTCAATCCAATCAACTCCAAGCTTGTTTCTCAGGTATGGAAACCAAGCCATCCCACATATTCTTCTGCACTGCCCACTTTACCAGGAACTAAGATCTAGCTTACTATTACAAGTTATAGTCTTTGAAAAACCATACTGACCCAGACAAAGTAATTATGCATTTAAACTGCCAAGATTTTAACTGTTGCCTTTCAGTGGCAAGGTTCCTGAATGAAGTCTGTAAACTGAACATGTAGCAAATGTGAAGTTTCCTTTTCTATAATTTATACTGCATTTTATACTGTCTTGTTATATATGCCACTGAAGGCCGATTGGATTGGAAATCAAGCCATAAACAGAGACCGAAAGAACTGGATACATTTAGTTTGGAGATCAGCTGAGAGGTGACATGAAAGTCATCTTTAAATATCTGATGGGATGCCCATATAGAAGATGGAAAAAGCTTTCCCCCTTGACTAGAAACTAGAACTTGAACCAATGGATTTAAATTACACAAGATTCCACCTAGGAATTATGAGGCACTTGCCAATGGAATAGATTGCACTGAAGGGAGACCACAAAAGGAAGGTGAGGTGGTGGGTGATGCTTTTCTGAAAAAAGTCTCAGAAACCCTCAAGAAGTAAGACCTAGTAGTTATGGGAAACTTCAATTACCATGGCAACTGCTGGAATAATAGGTTTCTTAACTAGAAGCTCTCCAACAAATTCATGCTATGCATTGCAGAGAATTAGTGGAAGGAACAAAAGAATAAGTAACGATGGACTTGATCCTAACCAAAGGGAGAAGTTGGTCTCTAAAATCAAAGCAGTTGATCATCCATTCAGCATAAGCGAGTAGTGTGATGCTGAAGCAAATAATGCAGGTTAGTTTAACCTGCATTAATAAAAATATAGATAAAAACTTCTGTAGGTGAAAGATGTAGAGAGGCTGAATGAAATAAGAGAAAAATAAATAGCTGAAAAGAAAATTAAACAGATTAAAGGAGACATGGCACTCAAGTGATTGTTGAGAAAACAGCATTTATGACTGAGGCAAAATACTGATGTAAGATCAAGTGCCAATAATGGTAGAGAGCAAGTATGCAAAAAAAGAAGGCTTGAAATCTTTGTTGAATAACAGATGCAGAGTCCTAACAGGGATAAACACTGAAAGAGTAGCTGTGCTTCCAACAATTAGTCAGAAAGAAAATCTTGCCTTTTGTGGCAGCAGCATTGTTACTGGCTAATAGCATGGAGACAATGAGATCCAAGCAAGGGAAGGCTGCCTTTCATCCACTACATGTCAAATTATCAGTATAAATCCAGGCTTCTGCTATTCAAATGTCTTCAAAGAAGTCACATCCAAAAATTATTTTCCATTCTGTTTAACCACCCATGTGTTTGGTATTCAATAGGAACAATTCCCATTTTCCCCTAAAATGCCAGACTGATGTAACAAGCTTGCAAAACAGACACCATCAAGTATGTAAATTATTTTTTTAATGATTTGGTAGTCAACCTTCCTTTCTTTTTCTTGTGAAAGTTTGCAATTATTTCAATAAGGCAGAATGCCTTCTCTTTGCCGGATTCAGGTAGAAACTAATTCAGATAAAACAATATAATTTATCCTGGCAAAATAAGGAAAACTATATTTTTTTTATCTTTAACATCAAAATTGGATTGTACAGCTAAAGGAACATACTTTCTTGAAGAGCCAACATTTTCTAGTATCTCCATTTTCTCCAATCCCTTTCTCCAAAGAAAGGTCAAAGTGATGCCAGCTATTCCTCGATTAATTGAATACTGGTTTTTGAATGTGAATTAGATAGCCTCCTTACCTAAAAGGGGTGGCAACCAGTTCACATTGGCCTCACAGTGGGAGTCTAAGAACGTGATGACATCTCCTACTGCGGCAGAAGCCCCCAGCATTCGGGTCCTTATCAGTCCTTCTCTCTTCTTAGTTCGAAGAATCCGCACTTTTGTAAACTGGGCCATATAGTCCTCCAAGCGTTTTCTAAGATGTTCTGCATGCAAAATAAATAAAGTATCTATTAATCTGTTTGAATCCTGCCTTTTTTTTATAACATTGGAAGTATGTTTCCAGAACTTGGAGCTATTTCTATTAAGTTCTAATAGTTCTATTTTTTTCAAAACGCAGTTGGTGGGGACGAGGGAGAGGGCCTTCTCAGTGGTGGACCCCTGGCTCTGGAATTCTCTCCCCAGAGAGATTAGGCTGGCACCCACTCTGTGCATCTTTCACAAAGAGGTAAATACATGGATGTTCCACTGTGCTTTTGATTAGACGATTTCCCAGAAATTCCGGCTCCCAGTTATGACCCAAAACTCAGTCTCTGCACTTTACTACTGTCCCCTGTCCGGAAGTCTTAGTGCTCCACCTCATATTGCCCTGTCCCCAATTTTGCCATCTGGCACTTGCACTTTATCAGCCCTCTCTTCAATTGATTTGTATTGGCCCCACTGCTCAAGCCCAGAACTGTTTTGCTATTTCAGGTACTGGTTGTCTGTTTGATACTGTGTAATGCTGTTGTTTGTTTTATTTTATTTTATTTTATTGCTTCTGTTTTTATGAATTTTAATTTTTTATTATTATTATTATTATTATTATTATTATTATTATTATTCAGACATTTAACATATATCTAGGTACTCAGAAGTAATGCTTTTAAACTGGAAACTGTATTAAATGCAAAACAACAAAAGAAGCAGGTAGGATAGAGCAAGTGCTTGAAATCTGAAAGGTGCAGAAATATCAGAAAACCTTTTATGAGTGCATTTGCAAGCTTTGATAAAACCATAGTTTATCAAATAGGTGTCTCTTAGATCTTCCATTACAATGTTAGATGAGGCAGATAACCTGTTGTCCTTCCGACAGCAAGCTAAAACCTTTTTATTCAGGCAGACTTTTAAAGCAGATAGAAATTTAAAGAACAATCCAGGGGGTGCTGTATAGTGTTTTAATTATTTTAACAGTTTTTACTTGTTTTAAGTGATTTTAACTGACTTTTAAAAATAATTATAGATTTAATATTATTTTGATATTTATATGTTGTATGTTTTAAATTGCATTGTTTTTAATGTTGTGAGCTGCTTTGGGTCTCAATCAAGAGAGAAAAGCAGGCTATAAATAAATATAACATCAACAACAATTTCAAGTAGTCACATTTAAAACGATGATTGCTGCTTCTTGTTTTCTAGCTATAAACCGTAAGCTGAGAAATTCTGTTGTTGGACAAATCCATTAATTGACTATTAAATTGCTTCAAAAATGGAAGAACACATATTTGTCCATTAAAACAACTCAAGTGTAATTAAATATAATCATCCAATTCTAATATACACAAGCATGTACTTAAACGATAAATGTGTGTTAAAAATGCAAGCAACGTTTTAACCATTATTTAAGTCAAATTAATGTTTACTATAAAATCTGTCTAGATTTTAATCACTATATCAATTTGATCTTAGAGCTAGGAATGCTCATGTTGTTACTGAAGTTATCAGAAACAAATCTAAACTCCATAGGTCTTCTCCCATGTTTTTCAACACTTGTATGAAATCTCTGGGGAGATTTAACTGCAGCTGTAAGTCAAAGTGTCACAAATATGTGGGGGGCTCATCTTTTCATTTTATACAAATGAGTCAAATGGATATCCAGAACCAATGCTTGGCCAGAGTAATGAACAGGATAAAGACCACAAAGAGAGAGACCCAATCCAGACAAGCTGAAGAAACAGTACTGGTGCCTTACCCATCCAATTAAATTCATTGCTTTCTGGAGGGAAAGATTTATAGAATCATTGCATTGGAAGAGACCTCGTGGGCCATCCAGTCCAACCCCATGCCAAGAAGCAGGAAAATCGCATTCCAAGAATAATAGCCATTGTTCCCAGATACTCAAATTCCCCATGAAGAAACAGATTAATAGTTTCTAGGTATTTTGGATCTATTATTTACCATTAGAGGTATAAATGTCTTTGGTAGCTGAGAGCTCATTTTATCTGTTTACCAAGTACAACTCTACTTGGAGATAATTATTCTCAGCAGCTGAGGTAGTTAGAGCGCAGTAGTTTCTTGCTGGAATTATTCAACTTCTGTTAGTCCAAAAACTGGGAAGTTAGACTATTAATTGGATTGGCTGATACAATCATATTATGGTAGTATTTGTCATCCATAATAGTTACTCCTCCACAATTCAGTCCAACTTGTGGTGCTTCACTTGCCCTTAAGGCCCAGGTTATCTAAGGTGGCATTTCCTTCCATATTTACTGCCGACAACCTAAAATAGGCCCAAACGCCTTGTTCTACGAGCCTCTGTCAAATGAGGTAAAAGGGTCTGTTGGATGTAAAAGAAACTGTTTATTGAGCAGTAGAACCTAAATGTGCATAGTTGATACAGGGAGGCATATTTAGTGATTGTGATTTGTTTGGTATCAGGTAAAGACCCTGATTCTCTTAGGCCTTTTAATAATTATTTTATTGCTTTGAGATCTCTGCACTATTGTCTTGTCTTTTCTTTTGTATTTTGATTTTACACCGTAAAATTTCACTCTCATTCCTTATTGTTGGTTTTATTTCTTCATTTGATGTTTAATTGTAAATGATTTATTACTTTGTGCTTCATGTTTGTAATGTTTGTAATGTATCTTTGCACTGCCCAGAGAATTCCAGCTATTATAGCAGAATGAACCCACCCCCCTCTCCAATAAATTCCAAGTACACTACAAATAAAAGTTTATTTATAGTTCACTAATAACTACATTGTATTTCAAACTTGCAACTAAACTCACCCACTCCTATTATTCATCAAGAATTGGCATCCAGAGTCCCCCTGCCTCTTGTCCCTGATGCAGCAGATAGCCATCATGACACGTAGCCCTCAATGGTCTTATGCTCCATTAATTTTTCCAAACCCCCTTTAAAGCCACCTTTCTTGGAGGACACCATAATTATGCACTGTAAAACTGAATCTTCCACCATCCAGCTCCATCTTATGGCTCTGGTTTCAAGGAATTCAATTCTTTACATACTACACAACTTTAGATACTGTATACTGTCCCTGTCCTTTTTAAAAAACACGTACCCTATAAGAATGTGGTTCTTTTCAAGGTATGGATGCTCCAGGTATTTTGAACTTCAACTCCCACAATTCCTAACAGCCTACCAGTTATTAGGAATTGTGGGAGCTGAAGTCTAAAACACCTGGAGGACTGAAGTTTGCCAATGCCTGTTCTAGCCCATTGGTCATTTCGATGGCTAGTTCTGCCACTTTTCTCATCATAACCGGAACTGGACATAGTTTGCCAAGGATGGTCATGCACAGGAACACCATAATGGCCTATATGTCCAACAAAATGAGGAAAGTCTGCTATTATTTCACATTTATTTTGAAGTGAAGGAACAATGTACCATTGTAAATCAGTCTGCATCTGATTTACTGAAAACAAAACATTATTAGAACAGAAACAGCAATCAGAATGACTTAACTAGAAACCTGGTTCAGAATCCCTACTATTTAGTTGTTGGAACTTTCCATGAATATATAGCTTTGTGTTTTAATTTCAACCATTATTCATTAATTTGACCTAAATTAAACTCTTTTAGGTCTTGACTTACAGAATGTTAATTATACTCCTGTGAGCTGGTTAGGATGACTCAACCAACTTTCTTAGGCATGCAAATTATTTTTGCAGCTGTTAGGAGGAATTTAGCAATATCTTCATCACATTTTAGAACAATAACATGTCAGATATATTTCTTGGCATTGGGCTGAGACAATGCTTTTCCGTATTACTAACTACTTCTGATAGCTTATTTTAAGATCAGAACATAACTACATTATTGTGGAGTAAATTACTGCTCAGTATTGTAATAACTTGTTGACAGTTTTATTAGCATTTGGAAGTTGATTTATTAAGTAATTGAAAATGCAATTGGTTCTGTTCTGTTGAAACAGAAAAGTCTTCATCTGTTTGTCAAAAGAACAAAGGGAGGGTGTCAGTCTAACCACTCAGGGAAGGGATTTCTAGAGCCCCAATTCTAGGGTAGCAATTGAAAAGGCCCTCTTCCACCAGTGAGGGGTGTGGGGCAGTGAGAAGGGCCTATCCAGTAGATATCAAAATATGGGTAGGTTCATAAAGGAGAATATGGTCTTTCAAATAACCTGTACTTGAGTTATAGCCTCAAAGATTTTTGTTTTACTCCTGATCACATATTTCAGGGTGGTTGAAAAATAACTGTGCTATTGAAAGGCTGAAGTCTAGCTCATTCAAAAAGTGTGTCTGTGTAGAAGGATGTTTTCCCATTAACTCAGTTACATATGCAATCATTTAATTAAATGCACAGTTTTATTCACACAACTGTGAATTAGGGGGTGGAATGTAGCTCAGTTACAGAGCTTCATGCTTTGCACGAAGAAGTTCCCAAATTCAGTCCCTGTCATCTTCAGTTTAAATGATCTGCGGTATGATCTGCTTACAGATGATGGACTCAAAGATCCCTGCTAAAGAACTCAGGAAGAGGAGACAATATAATAATAATACTAATAATAACAACAACAGCAACTTTATTCTTATATCCCTGAAGGGACTCAGTGCGGCTTACATGGGGATCAAGCCCAGAATAAACAAGGGTTACAAGGTAACATAGTTAAAAYATATAACATATAACAGTAACATATAATTAAAAACAATAAAACCAAAACTGTTGTGAGTCAGCGTCTGTCTCATGTACCTACTACTAGTAGTAGAAGGAAACGTGGTTTAGAAGATGAAGAAGCTCAGCAACAGCTGAAACGTATTAGAGACTTGTTCTTAGAGACTACGGATGAGGAAGATTTTGAGGGTTTTACTCACGAGGAAATGGAGCTGGAAGATTACCGCGGTGTAAAGTGAGTAGCAAGCAGCTCAGATAGTGATGTGGGATCTGTTGTTAAACGCCTTAGAGATGTAGCTGATAGGGCTGGGCGGTTTCGTTTCGTTAATTCGTAATTCGTTAATAATTCGTTAATTTTTCCAATTACAAAACGATAACGAACCATTCTGGAGCAATTATTTAAAAAAACGAATTTTCAAAAACGTTTTGTAAATGCTTCGTATTTCGATATTGTATTCGTTTCGTTATTGTTTTGAGGTCGTTTCGTTATTATTTCCGCATGTCTGGGCCAGTTTTATGGTTTAATTCGTGAAAAAAAATTATAATATCACACCAACAGTCAACAACAGAGGGAGAGCTCTGACTTTAAGAGCCTCCTTTTGTCGTGCTAATAGACATTAAAGACCTTTGTTTAACTCCTTCACTGCCGTTTTGCTTGCTGGTCCGTCTGGGTCTTGACAAAAACAATAGCTGGAAAAGTGGGCATGTTCAGGATTGATAGGGCAGGGCAGGGTTTGTGTAAACACACAACTGTAGGGCTGGGCCAGAAGTAAAGTGCTGGGTATTCAAAACCATAAGCTAGGGTTGGGCAGTCCTAATCAGGTGCTAAACTGTTCAAAGGCACATTGGAACATCCAAGTTTTCAAGTCTTTCCGGAAGGTGGACAGAGTGAGGGTTAATCTAATCTCCCTGAGGAGAGCTCCAGAGCTATGGAACTCTCTGCTGAAGGAGGACAGTCTCGTTCTACCTCTTGAATTGTCAGGAAGCAACACAGAAGCTATATAAGCATACTCATTTATTTTTTTCCTCTGTGTATGTGCACTCTTGCTATTAGGGATGTGCAATTCTTTTACAACCTAGGAACAGAAATCATAATGTAGAATATTAACAAATGTATTGGAACTCCAGCTGACTACAGACCGAGCTCCTCTTCTAATTAGGGATTTCTGATGCTAATGCATACTGGGAAATGTAGTTTAGGACAGAGTCTTTTGCATTCTTTGGCATAGGGCTCCTCCTCTTCTCAAAATGCTCTGTGCCCCCCTCCCCCCTTTTCACCACTTCTAATGGCAAGGGAGGCATGAAGTTAGGCAGGCAGCCATTTTGCTTAATGGCTTTCCTTCCTTGCACTGAATATGAAACTGACTTTGGGAGCGTTCCAATATTTACAAAACTAAAACAAAAAGGTATGGGGTAAATTTCGATTCTAAAATATTTGATGTGGGCCATGTAAACACTTTGGATATGGCTTACGATTTACAAAACTTCTGATTTTCTTACCATTTCTGACTCTTCCTCTTTTTTTTTTGCCCATGCCTACTTCCTATATAAGAAGTGTGTCTTTTTCAGTCATGCACATCCATATGGACAAACCATACAAAGAACATACCTCTGTCACTGAAATCATCCACTAGCACAATTTCAGCTATCAGTTCAGGAGGAGAGCGGTTAAGAACACTGTGTACTGTTCTGAGAAGTGATGACCATCCTTCATTGTGGAATGGAATTATTACACTGGTGTTGGGGAGCTTTTCAAGGTATAGTTTGCTATTGCAACTAGAAGATGGAAGAACACAGTTATTAGCTTCATCATAAAGCATGGAATGCTACTACTACAACTGTTAAAGTAATCACTTGTTTTTATCTCCAAAGTAGCAGAATGCTGGCCTTCCTAAATATCTCAAAGGCACCAGATCTTGTCTGATCTTGGATGTTAAAGCAGGGTCAACGTTGGTCTCCTGAATGGGAGACCACCAATGACTATCAAGTGCAGTAGGCTATATTTCAGAGAAAGGAACTAGCAAAACCATCTCTGAGTTTCCTTGCCTAGGAAAATCCTATGAAATTTATGGGGATGCCATAAGTCACCAAATTACTTGAAAACAACCCATCATGCACACACACACACACACACACACACAAGTCAAAACCAGCATCCTGAATTTAATTTGTAAATAAACTGAAAGATAATGCAGTTGCTTTAGGACAGAGAATATATGGTATCTAAAGCAAACTGTAGACAAATAGTCACAATTAAAAAACTAAATTTTAAATGTTCAACCGATGAATATTTGATCAATGTATGAAAGACAAGATTATTTCCAATGGCTCATATGAGGTAAAATAAATAAATCACTCAGAACACTACTTGCTTTCAGCTCTAAAAAGCTCCAAAATATGTACAAAGCAAAACATAAGTTAAAACACATATGTATATGTATATTGTTGCTTTGCTTTGTAAAATGAATCAACTTCTTGATTCTTTGTTACAACTTCAAAAGAGTTCTAAAGGTAGCATTAGATAACACTGTATACATTAAGGATTAAGGTCTATGCCAGCTGAATGACACTACAGGGAGAACTTAGAAAACATAAATTCTAGTAATAAGGATATTCATACTTACTTTGGATGTCGTATATCTGGTAGAGAGCGATTGAGAGAAATTTTGTCACTCACAAAAATATTAAAGCCATTTTCCCGGTATGCCTGATCAACTCGCTCAGCATCTGTCATAGGATATGGTTTTCCTTGTTCTCCATTTCCTATAAGTACGAAGTAAGTCAAGTGAAATCATTAGTATCACCTCCTAAATGAAGAAAGATTACTCATCCAGCCACCCACATTCAAACCTTAAGAAGCCAAGTCCCTTTTTCCTCACAGCTCTAGGCAATGCTAATTATGCCACAATCCATCAGTGGTACGGTATGATTTCATAACAGCCCCAAATGCTTAAACAGTCAATCCGTTTCAAAAAGAGATGACAGTTTTAACAAGGCTGTTTTAAGAATTGTGAGCAATGCCATTCTATCATTTTGAAAAGGCTCACTAATGCAGACTCACTAGAATTATCCCAGTTTACAAATGACTTACGTATTTCATTGTTCATGCAATTTCCAGTGGCATTTCCATTTTAAGATCTACCTTTTCATGTATTTTTATTGTGAAGTGAACTACACTTGAGGTTATTCACTTAGACAGCATGAACTTTTCCTCCCTGAGAGAAGTTGGCCCCACTTTGACTTGTTTAAATAGTGGGAAGTTTTTCTATTTGTCTCTAATGATTCCATTATTTGCCACTGGCAATTATTTGCAAATATTCAACTTCCTTATGACTGACTACATCTATCTGATCACCTGCTTCTTTTGTCACTTGGAACTCTGGCAATATAATCCAATCTGAAAATGCTGTTCTACGTACTCAAAGAAGTAGTGAAGATGCTGCTGTTACTCAAACTAAAACTCTTCCTAATGGGTGTAACTGTGTTGAGGAAAAAAGCTGCCAAAATCAGGACCCCACAGCTCACTTGCCATGGCTTTTTAAGATTTTGCCATGTTTTTTCTTCTTCTAAGGCTCAGGTCAAGAGTACATGTATTGCTGCCTTCCATCAGCATATAGCTCAATCAATTTCAGGCCAGATATTTGTACTCCCCGCTGAATGAACTAGAGCAGGGGTTCCCAAACTTTTAAAGTTCACAGTCCCTCAGCTTCTTGGGGGGCCAGATTATAGTTTGAAAAAAACATGAACACATTCTTATGCACACTGCACATTGCATTGAAAGAACAATCCAATATATAAAATGAAGAACATCTTTAACCAACATAAAAGTACCAGTCTTTCAATGGGAAGTGTGGGCCTGCTTTTGGCCAATGAAAGAGTCAAGATAATTAGGATTGTTGTTGTTGTGTGCCTTCAAGTCGTTTTAGACAGTGGCATATGCTGCCCAAGCATCTGGTGGAGTCTCCTTCTCTGAAGGTTTTTCAGCAGAGGCGGCAAGGCCATCTGTCGAGAAGGCTTTGATTGTGGCAAGGGGGCTCATATTTGCCACCCGGCTTTCCCCTTTTTTCCAAGGGAGGAACTACAGTGAAGGGCAGCCTTTCTGGAAAACACAGGGAGGTGACATGGGATGAAGGTGAGGTGGAGAAGGGAGGGAGGGAGGGAAGCCAGGCAGGTGCTCGGATACCTGCGGCTGGAGCCACTCAAGAAGGCGACATTTAATTAGAGTTAAGGGATGCAAGAGGCCACCATCTCTCTCTCCTCCTGAGGAGCCTGCCTTTTCCAGGGCCCTGATCCCCAATAAGAAAGGAAGGAAGATAGAAAGTGAGGAAGGAAATCAAGGAAGGAAGGGAGAGAGGCAAGAAACAAAGGAGGGAGGTCTGGAGAGAGAGGGCTGGTGGAAATTTGAACAGGGGCCACATTTGGTCCCCGGGCCGGACTTTGGACATGCCTGAACTAGAGCAAGGAGACATTGCAACTAGAGCAAGGAGACATTGCATGGATGCCCTGTGCACATGCCTGTTTATTTCAATTTGCCTTAAAACAGCTGTACTACTCACAAATCTGCTTGACACAAATTACCACTTTACCTTCTGCCTTCTGCTGATGACCAATAACTTTTTTAGTCAAACAGACATTCACAAATCGACTGCAATGGACTTGCAAAAGTGTGCTGTCTTCTTGGTTTTTAATCAACTTTTAAATAGCATAATTCTACAGTTTGTTTATATTTTGCTGATATTTTTGAATATATTTAATTGGTACTAGTTTTCATATTTGTAAGCAGCAGTCTTAAGTGTCAGTATTGGCACAATATAAATGTGGTTGTAGAAGCAATAATAATAATAATAATAAGAAGAAGAAGAAGAAGACGACTCTGGCCACTTGTTGAGTACTGCTGGGTTTCTTATACAGTGTGATAACCATAATTTATATTGGACTATATATATCTTTTCTTAATATTTGATGCTGTCAACCATTCCCCTTCTGTTTTCTGAATATTGAAATACAGTATATGATGAAGATTGAATGAGTTAGTATCTTTACCTGTTCGTTGCAAGTCTCTCCTTATAACATCTCTGTCATGCCAGTCCTTTTTTCTTTCTCCATTGCTGAGGGAAGCTTCTTTCTTTTGTCTTGTATAAAAACCCTTTAGACAAACACAATGAACATTATATTTCTGTAAAAGTGCACAAAGACTAAGCTGAACTGCCAATGTGTCACATTTAGAAAAATACTTAATAGGTTTGCTTGGATTTTTATTTCAAAGATACTTAACTGTTTCAATTCATTTTTATCAGTTTCCAGAAAATGGGCAAGCAACGGAGTTATGGCATACAACAAGTTACAAGAAAGATAGTACTACTGAAAGTGGTGCTCCCTCAGCTATTGGCTGTCGGGACCCGGAGAGCTTCGAAGAAAGAAGGAAAAAATGATACCTAATGGGTACTAATGTAGTGCTAGTCCCTGGCACATTGGAAAGAAAAATATTGCTGCCCTTGCCCTCATCAGATCCCCTGAGAAGCACTGAGATAGCATATCCCTGGTTGAAATCTGGCCTCTGTTATGTACAATGATATCTTGAGTTAAGAGTTTAATTTGTTCTGTGACTAAGTTCTTAACTCAAATCACTCCATCTCAAAGCAAATTTTCTCATTGAAATGCTAGTAATCTGTTCCAGCCCCCCCCCCCCCCCCCCCCCCCCCGAATGCAAACAACATTCTTTGGCAGAGAAACCTTTGACAGAGTTTGGAAAAGGATTACACTGCCACCCACCCAAACTTTTTATAAATACTTTAAAAGCATCCAGCAATACTGCAACAAACCTCCTCTGAATGAATCTTAAGAAAAAAGAAGGGGCAAGAGGATGAAACACATTTTAATTTGGTCTTGGTTTAATCAGAGGAAGTTTGTTATAACCTGATCTGATGGCTGAAGGTACAGTACAGTATAGATCTATTGAAATTGTTATCCAGAACTCAAACCACTGATACACATCATGAATCCCATCAGTAAAAAGATCGACTTAAACACAGCAGACTTTGATTCCAGATGATAGAAATGCTAATCTTTATTTAAATTGTCAGATAACATTGAAAACATTAGACTATCTATTATGAAAATAGGTAAGGGAAAATGTTCAGAAATAGGCAGTGCTTGGTTCCATCCAGCCACTGTGGCAAGAAAGCACATTTAAGGCAACCAACCATATGCTGGTCAGTGTAAGAGAAAGGCAAAACCTGCACAATCAAAAGCAACAATAAACAAAGAAAAATCTTTAAAATGGTAGAAGCACAAAGTTGTGGCAAGGAAGCACTAAGTGAAGAGGCAAAAGTATCATTTTCTTCATATTGTACTCATTCCAGTCTCCCTCCCTCCCTCTCTTGCTCCCCCCCCCCTCTCTTTTCATGAAGCCAAAAATGCCAGGAATAAAAATCACATAAAATCAAGTAATCCAAAGTTCTTCAAAGAGGACAAGAGCAAAGCAGACAGCAATCTCCCACGGCAGAGAAAAGCACGAGGCACAGAGCCCTAAAGCCCTTTATTCTTACACTAGCCCTCCCTCTGGTGGTAGCTCATAACCCAAAATGCAGCTCATATGTCAAAGCAAAATCAGACCGAGTGATGGCTCGTAACTCAAAATGCTTGAAAGTTGGGACGCTCATAAGTTGAGGTTCCACTGTATTCACATTAGCAAAGTATAGGTTGAGCATTTCTTATCCAGAGTTCTGAAATATAAAATACTCCAAAATAGTCCTCATGGGTGGCTGAGATGGCAACACATTTGCTTTCTGATGGTTCAATGGATACAAAACTTTGTTTCATGCAAAAAAAATATTTAAAATACTGCGCCTTCTAGGCTATGTATATCAAATGAATATGAAGCATGAATAAATGTTGTATTTAAACCTGGATCAGATCCCCAAGTATATTTATATACAAATATAGGTACTTCAATAGTTGTAAAAGACATTTTTTTTTAGAAAGGTGGAATATAAATTCAATAAAATAATAACAACAATACAATATTGACTAATGCATGCACTGAAATAATCCAGAAGAAATTCAACCTCCACTTTGTAGATTATAATAACACTTTTGATTAAGTAGATCATGGAAACCTATATAGACCATTCAAAATGAAATGGGTGAGCCACAATATTTCACTGTCCTAATGTATAATTTACACTCTTGACAAAGGAACACCAACAAGTCAGAATATTATATTTATTTAAAAGTGGCTCATGAATTGAAAAATAAGTCACAATTGTAATCCATGGGATTGCCCACGTGGTCTCTTTCAATTCTATGATTCTAAGTTACCATCCACAAACTCCACTCACCACTTCAAATCAGGTTTAATTGGCTCCAGGCTGTGAATCCAATTTTAGGAAAGGTCCCTATATTTTATTAACATGCAAATTGTAGCTACTCCCCACACACTGAAGACCAAGGGGGCTGGGAAACTTGTTGATTCTGAGATAAGCGTGCTTTTGGTCTACTCTCACCCTACTTTTGCGACATCAGCAACTATCTTTGAAAAAAACCCACAACAGCCAATTTGACAAAATTCACAGCTCTTGCTTGAATTTATCTTTAATTTTTAGCCCCAGAAAAAGTTATTTTGGCCTACAGCTTCCAGAATTCATGGCCAGGATGGTCAATAGCCATGATGAGAAGAACAGTCCAAAAAACAGCTCTGCATATTTCCTACCAGAAAGTATTCCCTCAGTCTAAATACTTCATCACCTGGAACCTAAAAATCAACCTGCAAAGGCTGCTCCCATCTGCTATCACTGATGATTGCTCCTCTATTGACAATTAAATGCAAAAAAAATAATAATCCAAAATGCCTTGCAACCTCTTATGTTATGGAGCAGTCCACTGCAAAAGGAAAAAAGGGGGCAGTGAGGCAGAGAAAGGAGGAGTGGGCTGGGCAAGGGAACAAGTGAATTAAATAGGGAACTGACAGGTGGATTAAAGGCTGGGAGGGAGGGAGGAAGAAAGGAAAATTGGGAGATTAGGAGGAGAAGGGCCAAATGTGATGTGGCTATGGGATTCTGGGAGGAGACAGATGTCCTTGCAGATGGCCAATTTTCTCACAAGTGACTTGCAGCTCCCGACACAAAAAACAAAAAACAAAAAGCAAAAACAAAAACCAGATAATTGAAAAGGCAACTGGCTTATGCTCATGTATTAATTTAAACAAGATAGCAGAATGTTACAGAGAGTTTATTAACTGAAATTAAAATTTTGGGCAAGAAGTAACTTTTCACAGATATTTACTGTGTTTGAGACTGTCTTGCTCTGGACTGCCAAGATAAATTATGGGTATGATTCAGAGGATGATTGGATCATAGCTCTGCATTTCATTTCATAGCAAATCAGATTAATCTGGCTTTATTTTTTGATTGACAATTCATTGGATCTCACATACCTGTTTTCTATAGCAAATTCATACATCTAACTAAAATGCACTTTCCTCTAAATACTGGCTTAGCCTAAAGCTAATCTTTTCTCCATGGTTCTCATAGTATGTTTTAATGAAAGAGATTCAAGTAGAAATATATATTAATGTAACAACAACAACAACAAAAAACAACACTTGAACAGATTTCTGTAAATCCTCTCTTGCCATCAGGATTTTCTTAACAAACTGCCAAAGGAACCTAGAAGTATTCAACAGCTAGACGCACATACAAATGGAATTTTAATCTTTTGTCTAATCACTATTTCGTGTGTCTGGTTCCAGCTAGAATAGAAAAGTGAATGCTGATGTAATCCGACTGTTTTTTGTATTAAAAATGACCAAAATAATTATTCTGAAATGTTGGGGTGGAGCTTTACAGAAACAATGAAGTAGAAATAGTATTCAGACACTGTTCAATAGACATTATTTGGCTTTCCACATAGTATTTTATTTCTATTATGTATTGAAATAAAAAAATCAATTAAATGAGGGGAGGAAGGACTTATATTGTGGAAGGTAGAAAACAAGGATAGACAGATGGTAAACAGTAGATTATATCCGTTATTAAGAAGGAATTTTACTGCACATCTAATCATTACTTGAATGACATTAAACAACCTAGAAAGTGTTGCTATACCGAGGGAGAGGGAAAACACTTGCCCTTCAAGTAAATAAAGACCCTATCCCATATCAGTAAACCTACAAATATCAAAACCATTTGAAAAAAACAACACATACCAAAATTTTCCCCAAAATTGCATGTGTGAAAAACTAAACTCAGTATATTTGAAAAATGGACACAAAAACACATTTTCAATAGGGAAAATGTACATATTAAAATATGTACCAAAATAAATACGAAATTCCAAAATCAATATAAAAGTCTATGCAGAGAGACAAACTGAAGCATTAGTCTTTAAATGGAAGTCCCGCCTTTAACAAAAGGCGGGACAGGAAGAGAATGCTTGCAGGATTTAAAGAAATAGAGTGGAAACAAAGTTGACAGATCTTCACATTTTCAGGAGTCACTTTAAAAACCATGATGATGATGATTCTCTCTGTTGTATCTAAAATCCATTTCCACACCATCCTCAGCCACGTAGAGAAACCCTAGGCCAGTGGGGTTCCCAGCTGGTAAACTGGCTGGGATTTCTGGGAGTTGTAGGCCAAAAACATCTGGGGACCCCAGGTTGAGAACCACTGCCCTAGGCATTCACTGGTACAAATCATGGCTGGTAATAGTTCATTATTGAAGGCAACTTCAGAAAGAATCAGTTCTTTTTCTTTTCTGGAATATGGAGCCCTTTTCCTCCTACAGAGGTTGAGAAGAAACAACCAAAACAGTAGAGGGAGTATGCTCAAATACCAAAAGAAGGAGAGGCTGAAAGAGACTTTAGCTGGTACTCCCACTACTCTTGCTTAAAATAAAACCATGCAGGAGAGGTGACTTTCTATCAAGACAGTTAATTGATAATTAGCAGGTTTAAAGCAAGCATTGGGGGAACAAGTGCCACTTTGATCTCCACATACATTACTAAAAACAACTTGACTTTTAAAAAACATTAACACATCATTAAAACTGTACAATTATAAACAAAACAGCCTGAAATAACTCTAAAAACAACACACAGTGATTAGCCATGGATTCTGCGCATGCTCTTCTCATTCTTTTGTTTCTT